TTCAAAAAGGATAAGGGAAAATAAAAATATTAAATATAACAGGGATATTCACTTCATTCTGAGCTTAAATGTTATTCTTGAAGTAAAAATATTTTTCATGTAGCATTCTTATAATGATCATCAGTTTAAGACACTGTCTAAAAAATACTAGAAAGTAACATTTTATTAACAATGTTCACAAAATAAGTACATAAATCTTTAGTCAAAATAGGTAGGTACTAATTCACATCTTACATTGCTATAGCTTTCACTTCTTTCTACAGAATTTCTCCTTTATTACCCAACTTGAGCTTCATAATAACATAATATAGTTAAGACTACCTTTATCTCATTTCAAAAATATAAAAGCTAAGACAAGTTATCTTTCATATTTTAATAAAAACTATAAAATTTAAGACACATTTGTTGGGAAATGTCAAAAATAATGTGATTAAATGTTCACTTATTATTGGGTAAAAATCCAAAGATCTTCACCACTGGACTAGTCTAATATGCATCAAAGTGTTGTGTGTGTGGGCTGTCAACTCAGACTCCCTAGCTTTGCATTTCAGTTCTGCCAAGTACAGCCCATATAACTTTGGGCAAATCATTTCACCTCTCCACCTTACTTTCCTAATGTGTGGGGAAATTGGAATAATAAAAATACCTAACTCCTAAGATTGCTATAAGAGAGGATTATCCATGATACTTATACTATATACCACCCTACTTCATACAGTTGTTGTAAGGATTAAATAAATTAACAAGAACTTTAGGTGCTCAACACAGTAATAAGTACATGTAGCATTCACCAATGCTGTTATTTTCTGTTTACCTCCACAATTTGTGGACTCCTATGGCCTTAGGCAGAGCACCTCTGAGTTTTAGCTTCCACATCTTTAAAATGAGATTAAGAATGCAACTCTACAGTAGGATGTTGGTAAGGATTAGATGCAATACTCTATATAAATGATCTCCATAGAGAGCATTTTACAATAAAAGCATTTAGTAAATATTAAATTTTAAAACCAAACCTTATTCAATATTATTAAAATAACATGCTATTTGAATTAAAGCATTCAATATTAACATCGTTAAGGTATGGCATAAAAGAATGATTACAAAAATTTTAATGCTCATACAAATACAAATATGTCCCCCAGAAATCTTATATATGACATTTACTCTCAATTACTTTAGTGTTTTTTTAGGAATTGTCAAGCCCACAAGTTCTATTCCTCTTGCTGAAATTCATTATGTGTTTTTCTGTGGAAGAATCAAGAGAAAAGGAAATAATGACCTACATTCTTTTGTATTTACAATACACCAAGCATTTTTCCAAGTGTTTTACACATTATGTATTCAATCCTCATAACCCAATGGGACAGCATCTACTATATCTCCATTTTACAGATTAGGAAACTTGAAATAAACAGTCCTATTTACGGTCAGCTGTATTTGGAAAAGAAACTAATTGCCTACATTCCATTTGTGGAATCTGCTATAAAAGCAAATACAGACTTCAAAAGTTCTTAAAAAGCCTTTTTTTGTAGAAAACTTACAAAGTTCACCTGTATTTGCTCTTTACACCTGCACTCTTTAATATAAGAGTCATCGGCTACACAAGGCTACTAAGCACTTGCAATGTGCCTAAGGATGCACATGTGCCATAGCATAAAATAACATCAGATTTTGAACTTTATATGAAAAAATGTAAAATATAAACATTGTATTGATTACATGATAAAATATTATTTTGATGAAATGGGTTAAATAAAATACATTATTAAAATTAACTTCACCTGTTTCTTTTATTTTTTTAAATAGGGATACTTTAAATATTTTTAAAATCTTCTGTTAAGAGACGGAGTAATGGAAAATTATTATCAAAGTTATTTTCCCAATCAATATAAGCTTCAAAGTCAAATTATTATAGAATAGAAAACTTCTTGTTCTTTTTTTCTTGTATGTGCATGTATGCAGTATTACACATACATACAAACATGCACATAGCTCACAGAAGCCATAGGAACATACTATATAATACTTCACTATATTCAGTATACAAGGTGACATGACCAAATAACATTTCAGATAAAATCAATACTTTGTAGATGAGGGAAGGAAAGCAAAACTAAGGGCAATAGTCATAGGGGAAAAGATTTTTTTTTTCTTTTAAACTGAAAACATAAAGGTTCCTTTAACTAAAAAAAAAGCTAAGCATTTAGCTTCAGGGATATAATAAATACCAAGTCTAGGAGGGAAATAAAATTTAAATTCCCTGGCTTAACTTGCAGACTATTAAAATATCTGTTTGATATTTGGTATCTTATAGAAAATATTCAGTTTATGGATACCTGTCATATTGTGTTGATCAGCTTTATACATCAAGCAAGAAGCCTTTAAATGATTCTTCTAAACGGATGCTGATCCACTATATAGAAGAAAATTGCTCTATAAAGTTTACATCAGATATGTGGAAAAGTCACATTTATAGTCATGGCTACTATCAGCTGTCAAGCCAAAGAATATTGAAGAAAACTAAGAATTTTAATATATGCTGGTTAATTTATCATCTAAGTGACATATGTAGGATAAAAAAAAGAAATGGTTAAGCAAAATTCTGCATTTTAAAAGATCCTTTTTCTGTTTTATTTTTAACTGCAACAATTAGAGAAACTATAATAAGAAAACAAATTAATAAGAACTACAAAAATACAATTGATGAAGTACATACTAGATGTCTTTTTTCCTCCCCTTCCCTAGAATATTAAAATGTTAATTTAAAAAAAATTTAATTGTACATAGCACAATTTATTTATTTAGTGCTAAGGATCAAACCCAGTACTGCACACATACAAGGCAAGCATTGCATTCTACTGCTGAGCCACAACCCCAGCCCCTAAAATGTTAATTTTTAAAAGTGATAATATATTTATATCTTGCTTTGTACTAGAAACTGGTTAAAATATCTATTCTAGGGCTCTTCAACCTTGACACTATTTACATTCGGGGTTGTGCACCGTAGGACGGTTAGCAGCAACCTTTTGTGGGGGTTAAAAAGCTCCCCAGTTGAGAAACATGATTAGTCTATTCCTACCTACAATGCCTTCCTTTGGGTAAAAACTACTTTAGTTCTTCCTAAATTACTATTAGTTTTAGGGCTCTTCATACAGATTCCCAGATAGCTTGAGGAGGGAGATCATAAACCTGTGAAACCACATGCAGAATAGCCTGGGTATATTTTTATTTCTATGTGTGCAGTGGGGTGTTTTCTGGGAAAATGTTCTATAACTTTTGTTAAATCCTGAAAGAGTTATCCCCAAAATGGCAACTGATAAAGGGTTAAGAATCAGTGTTTCAACTAAAATATTCACTCCCCAAAAGCTTTTCAAAAACATAAACATTGAAAATACTATTTTATACACATCAAATAATTATTTGTGCTGTCACTTATTAAGCAAGACTGCTTTCACCACACTTAGAAACCATTCACACAACAAACATTCACTGAGTACATTCTATATGATAGGCAACTGTTATTGCACATGAGAGCTCAACTTGAAATTCCATCTCTCACAACAACAAAAAAAGGGTGGGGGTAATAAGCAGCACTAAAAAAAAAAAAAAATAAGCAGCACTATAACATCTGTAATTCTGTAGATGAGGGAAGGAAAGCAAAACTAAGGGCAATAGTCACAGGGGAAAAGATTTTTATCAAAATCAAAAGTTAACATAAGGGATGGGGCTGTAGCTCAGTGGCAGAGCATTTGCCTAGCATGCATGAGGCACTGGGTTCGATCCTTAGCACCTCTTTCCATCTACAACTACAATTTTTTTAAAAAAAGTTAACATAAAAACTAGTTATAATATTAGTAACAAAAGACAATGCATATTCCTGGTAAAAAAGAATATATAAAACAAATCAAAAAGAAAGTTAAAAGATAATTATACTAATACTGTCCAGCCACATTTCTCTCCATCTTTCCCTTCCTTCCCTGCCTTAAAACAAAGATGTACTGAATGCCATACTGTTATACTGTCATACTGAATGACACTGTTATTAAGCCTAAAGGATATGAAGTTGAATAAAAAATATAAAAGAGATAACCTAAAAATCAGTATTTAGCATTATGTCTAGAACACAAGAAAAGCTTTGACAGTTACTTTCCTACCCTTTCTTTCTGTGCTCAAGGAGGCTCAGTCTCACTTCCAATAAATGTCACCTCTTAAGATTTCCCTTTGAGTTATCTTTTAGGTGTTACACAATAAAATCCTCTTTGTTATTCAAACTATATAAACCAAGTAGATAAAAGCTAAATGTGTAAAATGTTTTTACAACTATAATTCTATAATCTACACAGATAATTCTTTTTATTAAGTAAATAATCCCCCAAGTATTTTAATCTTCCTATAGTTCAAAGTTTACAGAGCCACTAATCTTTTTTGGATTACAAAACTGTGATTATACAACCTGAAGAGCTACTGAATTCAATAAGTGGTTTGGGGATAATAAACACACATGTAATCAATAAATACATATGGAGCAGCTACAAAAGAACATGTCTATTTTAAGATTACCAAACAGATTAAGGCTAAAATGAGTACAAAGAGCAGAATGATGCTTAAAAATATGTAGTAAATAAATCTTTACAAATAAATTAGAAAATAATTCTGTTCCAAAATAAAATTCTATCCCCAAATAATCAATACAATCGTATCTAATCCAAAGCAAAACAACTGCTTAAGACACAGAATGTGACTAACACTTAACAATGACTTTGTGTAAAAGAACAAGTAATGAAGATTTTTATTTTATATCTGAACAACAATTAACTGATTAATATTATATAGTAAAATGACACTTCACAGGGAAGCAATGATATACTGATGAGAGTAAATCACACAGAAAAATTTTAAGTATTTAATATTAGATTTTCTTGAGGGGAAAAAAATAATTGCAACTCCAAATTACACAAATCATTTAGAGGGTTAAAAATACATATTATTTACATATTTACCTGCACAGCAAGAGAAGCTGCATTGTCAGAAAGCAAAATTTGCTCCCCTGTGGAAATACAAGGAAAGACCTCATTCAAAATTAACTGCTAAACAAGCAAAGAATACTTATAATATTCTTATTTTTAAGAACTATTCCTATTTTAAAAAGAAAAGGTATAGTCTACATTGAAGTGAACATGAAATTCTACATCAATGTTGTGTAATCAAAATTTTGACTGTTATACTATATAAATAATAAAATAGGACTATTTCCTCTGAAACTATATGATCACTTATCTCATTTTATCAGCAATATGTAATTAAAATAGCTCCTTTAAGAATAAATTCATTTCTAAGTATTCAAGAAATATCCCCCTTCTTTTCATTAAAATTAAGTAAAATAGTATCTATTCAAATCTTTCTAGTTAAAAGTAAAAGCATTCACAATCATATAAAACCAGCTTGCAGTTAATATTGCACAGTGTGTCTAGGTCTGTCACACAAAAGAAAGATGACAAGTTCGCTGCAATAAAAATTCCATGCTTAGAAGACTAGGGCTGCTGCCTATTAGTCTTCATTACTTTGCAGTCTTCTGACAACTGTAGCAGGCTGCTGAGCCCCAAATGGGGTCCATAATGTGATCTGATGATATATGAAGAGCTGCTAAAGGGAGCCTGAACCATCCTAGCCTATACATTTTAACAGTTCCTTTTTACTGAGAGCCCACTTTACCACAGGACTTCAAAAAACTGCTGTCTCAGCTATTGGTGCAGTAAATCTGCCAACTGCTCCTGCAACCACATCATTTTACATTGCCTACAGCAGCCAATATAATGAGTCAATAATAAACCAAGGACCTTATAGGCCATGAATAGTTGGTTTACACAGGCAGATATAAGTTTAGGTAAAACCTCCTAGACAAATTATACAAGAGAATCCCTCCTTTACGTTTCATGTTCTCTTTGTATTGAATTACATTAGTGAGGATTTTTTTTTGTAATAAATATATTTGGATACAAAAATCACTCAATTGTGATTAAGAACCTACCTTTCAGTTGCTGATATAATGTAGCATTTTCTGGCCAAGGTTCTGTAGCTGAAGAAACAAAGCAATGATAATTAGACATATAGGGCAAACAAAATATCAGTCATCTACCAAATTAGTAAGTATTTTCATTGGCCTATAGCATTAAAGTCAATTACTAAGACTACCTTATAATATGGCACCTAATCATATATCTTAGATTCTATAGTACCTGTCTAAGTAGGCAAGATCCTTTTAAATGCATGCTTACTTATTATTTGGTGATAGTTTGTTTTTGTTTTTTATGGGGAGAAACAGGCAGACACCATGCCCAATCAAAAATGAATCTGAAAAATAAATTCCTTTACCTTCCTTTAAAAATTTACACCCAAAATGTTGCTCAAACATATAAAAAGATATTGATGTCTGACTCACTATAAAAAAAAGATAGTGAAACAATATTTATGATAATTTACAAAGTGAATTTTCAAGCAACACTATATGAATCAAATACATCTGTATCGGGTTGTCTATCTCTTCCTTTAAGCTGGTAGATTTAAAAATACAAAGGAACCCTATTATATCTAGAACATTTCATTGCTTTGACTCTGCCACCACTATCCCACAAAAACAATTAAAGGAGAGTTGTGTGGTGAAGCAGGAAGCACCTACAATGTGAAATAAAGCCAATAAAGCTAATTTTAGGCCTGAAGTAAAGCCTGACCTTGACCCTTAGTCTCTCATTTAGAGAAGATTCCAAGATTCCAGCTACAAAGAAAATATCAGTAACCTACCAGTACTGGGGAAAAGCACTAGATTTGAATTTTGTCTCATCAACTGCACTTAAGAAGCAGTGACTCCACTGACAGAATATACAAGATTATTATACAAGAACATCATTTGTTGAAGTCTTCTTTGTAAAAAACACAAAACAACAAAACCATTGATTCTTTTTTCTTTTTTAATCACGGATTCTAATACAGTAACTACATTTGCCCTCAGCAAGAAAGTAAATTAAATATATGCAACTTGATAATAATAGGTATCTTTTTATTGTATTTATATTAATCCAATCTGTGACATAGCAACAAATAATTTTTCATATATAATTATGGCTTTTTAAAAGAAATTTGTACATATAAAGCATTTTTTATTGTTCACTAAAGAGGAAGCACAGAACAGATATCCTTTAATTTGCTTTTATTATGTTTAAGAATAAAAAGAAAAACAGTAGTATTAGTAAATACTAAAAATCTAACTTTTGGCTTGATTTGAGCTATACAAAATTAAGTTCATACTTAACGATAATACCGTGAAATCGTCAAGCAAAAATGGACCATACATAGTTCTGTATGCTGTTACCTACAATATTACAAGTTACTGGACTTCAATATACAAACCAAAAGCAGTGAAACTAAATATTAATTTTACTGTAAACATTTTAACAAAGTAAAATTTCAATAAGAACCCAATTAACCTGTATAGCACAGTTTTTAAAATAAAAGTCACGGAAACAAAAACAAGCTGATATCAGCGAATTACTCAAAAGTAATCTTTTAGGATAAATTGTATGGTCAGCATACCTCTACCATTTACATCTCTACTAGAAACAAAACAATGATGTTAATTCTTTATAGGTTCCTAAATCATCAAAGATTCAATTATATGCATTATATTAATCTCATTAAATCAATAAAGCATAGAAATTTATAAAAATTTCAAAGAATAAATATTAAAACTAAGTTCCTGGAGGCAATGCATGTGTCTTATGTATCTGCGTAAGGCACAGTGTACCTGCTTTGCATACAGTTGGTATTCATTAATTGTGTGTGAAAAGAAAGAAAAGGAATATTTGACTGTAGCTATCATTTCATTCCCTAAACATTTTGGCTATTCAAAGTTTTACCCAGTTTAATTTTATCATCTCTGTTAATAGGGTCAACTTTATATACTTTGTATACTCTGGTAATTTTAATTTTTGTTTAGCTATTTTGTGTATATACAGAGAAGGATAAATATTTTCAAAACAATGGAATAAGATACACTTAGCATCTTAGATATGATAAATAAGAAGCTACCCCACTATTTTGTAACAGAAGCTCTCATATGAACAGCAAAAAAAAAAATTTCACCACTACCTCCATGAATTCTTCAAATCTAATCCAACAACATATATCAAAGTAATATAAATTTTGCAACATGAATGCAAATAAAACTAAAGAAGCTGCCTACAAATACCAAAAGCTACTTCCTAAGAACCTAAAGCTGGAAAATAGGGTAAAGGGGGTAAACGTTTTGCTTGATCCAAGATATAAACATGTTTTCACCCATAAATAACTGAAAATAAATTTTTAGAAAGCAACTCTACCAAAAAATTTGGTGTTTTATTTATAAATGGAAACTATCATTTAAAGAGAGAAGGCAAGTAGACTGACACAAATCTATATAACCATGCTATTTTACTAGTTAGGAATTCTAGAGTATCATGGATCATAGATAATAAATGTTAAAGAACAAAATGGCCAGCTGCCCATCTCACCCATTAAGCTCTCAGAATATACAATATCACTGATTTTAGAGCACTGTCTATGTGTACAAGCTTAAATAATTACATTTAAAGCATGATATGGGAAAAGAAATCACTAGTATGTTATTTTGTAAGAGTGCCAAAAGTGAAAATCCCTAGTTGGGTGGCCTGGCAATGGATCTACAAATCACCTTATGAAGGTGTCATTCTAGAAAATAAACTCTACAACTGTCTTCAGAAGTATGAATCATAAACATTTTATCCACACAAAACACAAAGCCTACTCTTGGTATGGATAATACTAATTAAAGCCTTTTATTGTGAGCACCTATTAACAAAAAATGAAGTCGAAAACGACAACTTCTTTCCCCTCCTCTCTTTCCCAAGGTAAAGCAAGTAAATATCCCCACCCCTCGGCTCCTGAGCATGTATAAAAGGGAAATTTAAACTTTTTAATCATGGTTCTGACAACAGATATTTAAAATATCTGTAGTATTTTTGAAAAGAAAAGTTGTTTTCAAATAATTAAAAAACATTTTCATCTTTTATTAATTTTTCTTCAGTTGACCTAGAATGTTTTAGAAACTAAAAACTACTTTAATAGTAAATAAAATTTCATGATTCACCTACCCTATCCATTTTCAACTTCTACTACCAAAAGAACTCCCTGATGTGAAATGCTGTTTCAAACATGCCTTAGGGAAGGCACAGGCTTAGAATAATCACAGAAGATCAGGCTGAAAATTTCTGAAAAAGAGGTTGGTAAGAAGTAGAAGTGGGCTGGGCTGTGGCTCAGCAGTAGAGCATGAGGCACTGGGTTCAATCCCGGGCACCACATAAAAAAAATAAACAAATAAAATAAAGGTACTGTGCCCATCTACAACTGAAAAAAAATATTTTAAAAAGAAAATAAAGAAATGGAAGTTGGGGGAGAAAGTTTTCCAATACTATCAAGAATCAAGTTACTAGTATTATTAGCACACCACAAGTAAACTTTATGCTTAAGACACACTGGTAATTATATGTGGTTCTTGAAATAAAGGCCAAAATCTTTGACACTATCTATCAAGTTCTACTTGGCTTTACACATCACCCTTTCTACTTCATCTCACTCACACCCTCCTCAACCCTCCACAACCCTCCACTCCCTGCACTCCAGCCACGCTGGCCTTCATCCAATTTCTGAATACACCACAATCCTTCCTGCCCTGAGACTCATTTATCTTATTTTCTTTGCCTAGAGCAATCTTCTTGTTTCATCACATCTCAGCTCAAACATAACTTCTTCAGGTAGAACCAGGTTCATGGATACGTAACCTGCACAGTTCACAGAACCAACACTTAAAAGGGTCCCATGCTTGTAAAGTGTTCTGCTTTCAGCCTAGGAAGTCTTAGTAATTTTTTGAACAAGAGGTCTCAAATTTTCATCTTGCACTGGGCACTAAAAATTATGTAGCTGGTCCCATGCC